TTTGCATTTTTTTTATTATTTTCAAATTGTTTAGTATAATTTTTGTATATTGTTTTGTTTTCAATTGTTTTGGTTTTTAAGTATTTTATATAAAGTTTTTCCTTAATTTTTGAGGACTTTCGGAGGTCTTTATTAATCCACGGTGATTTAAGACTTTTATTTGATTTAATTATTTTGATTTTCGGGAAATTTGCGTCATAGATATCATAAAATGTTTCGTAGAATGTGTTATAGACTACATTTACTTCTAATGTAGAGTCGATATTTTTCCAGTTAAGTAGGGATAGTTGATCGTTAAATGATTCGATATTTGATTCATTGAAAAAGCGTTTGATGAAAATTTCTTTTTTTTGTTGTATTATTTCGGTAACAAGATTTAAAGGAAAGAAAATAGGGAAGTGATCAGACACATCATTTTTTATTATACCTATTTTAAGCGAATTGTTAAAGATATCAGTTGTTATTATGTTATCTATTACAGAAGCTGATGTTTCTGTTACTCTTGTTGGTCTGTTTATTAATGGAATAGCGCCGTTCTGAAATAAACCGTCATAAAATGTTTTTATGTTGTTGTTAGTTTTATATTCAAAACAATTTAGATTTATGTCTCCAATTAAATAGTTCAGTTTTTTTTCCTTTAAACCTTTTCTTAAAATATTATGAAATAAGAATGTATTGAAATTTTCTATTATGCCAGATGGCGGGCGATAACAACAACTCCAAAGTATATTTTTGGTGTTACTGGTTTTAATCTCTATTGTTAAGACTTCGCTATTGTCATCAGAGTTACTCATGTCAGGCCTAATAATATACTGCAAATTTTCTTTTATATAAAAAATACTGCAAATTTTCTTTTATATAAAAAATATATTGGGATTAGTTAACAGAACTATGTATGTGGGTCAATATGATAAAGTTATATTATAGAAACACAAATAAAATATTATACAAACACGATTAAAATTTTTTTTATAGAAGATACAGCACTTCATCTGGTCAAGGTTTTCTATCCAAATTCTTGTGATTGATGAAACTTATACTTAAGTTTACTGGATCATTTCATATGCTAGTATTAGCAAATCTTGTAAATCTAGTAGCTTTACTTTGATTCTTGTATTATTATTATTAAGGCCGGCGCGATAGAGGGGTGTAGGGGTGTGTGACACCCCCCCCATCAATGATTTTTAGTCGGCAAACTGGACCCTTAGTCGGCAAATTTGACCTTTTTAGACTAGTTAGTCGGCAAATGTCGACTTTTTCGATATAGGTTAGACAGTCGGCAAATGTCGTCATGGCAGTTGGCAAATTTTGAAAAACGAGGACCTTTTTTTTTTTTTTAGTCGGCAAAAGTTGTCTATTCCTGTTTGAAATAGAGATTCCTCATTTTTTAGGACATCAAATAGTGGAATTTTTCATACTTATGCTTATATACACTCTGACATGATGCTCCGCCAAATCCAGTTTTTAGACAAAAAAGTTCTTATCAGAGTTTTCCTTTTCAGAGCTAGAACTAGTGTTTATTTACTGCTTCTAGAATTCTGAATAGAGTTAGGTTTACCCTATCTTGCAGAGCCCATTCAGCTGATGTTTCTGTAATAACTAAACCTTAGGTTATCATTCAGACTCACCTTAAGTATATTGTAGGTGTTTGGGTGGATAAATATCGGGGTTCTGTATAAGAGAACTATTTTTAATCATCTAGCATTGATTGCCACTGAGGTCACTGTCAATTTTTCTCTCTGTATATATTTATTTAACACATGCTAATCAAACATGTTTATGCATAGTTAAACACAAATATGTTTTGTTTGTTTTAGTACAGAAAATGATCTTTATGCTTCAACAGTCGTCACTGGAAAAACACGCAATTGGATTAAAAGCTTGCGAATGTTTAGAAAGACGTCTTTGTCTACGTAAGTCATTGTTATGACGTAAGTCATGACGTAAGTCATGGTTATTTCTTGTGGTAGCTCACTTCCTGAACTTTGTAACTTATTACACGAGTAGCTATTATATTTAAATATTTCAAATATTGTATAAAAATCTAATTTACTGTTTTTAATTTTTGCATCTTTAGAATAATTATAATAATATATTGTTATATTTTCAACAAAGCTCCCGTGTTAATGTAATTAAAAGCTATTCCGGTATAAATGTGCTGACTCATTAAGTCCACCCATTTAAACTATGTTTATATAAAAACAATATATTTTTGATAGTGTAAAATATTTTTATTTAATTATTAAGACCTGTGACGATAAGAGAGGCTATAAGAGATTTTTAGTGTTGTAAATATTAAAACTTGTTAGCGTAAAAACTTTAGGTAAGATTTGGAAGGATTTTATTAGGTTGCTATTTCTAAAGTTGACTCAATTATAATTTGAAAAGTTTTTAATTTTTTAATCTGGTTTTATTACTTGGTTTTATTTTTATTTTATACTTCTATGTTTTTTTGTTTTAAATAACCTTTTTTTTTTGCTAATATTAGGTTAAATAAAGAGCCTTTTTAATCGTTAATCTTTAAACGTTTTTTTTTTTTAATCGTTTATTTAAAAAAAAAAAAATCCCTACCTTAGCATTTAAAGCTTTTTTTTTTTGAAATCCTAAATGACGTCAATTTAAAGCCCCGAGGGAAAAATTTATGAAATAAAAATTTAACAAAAAAAAACAACAACTCTGAACCCACTCAGAAATAATATTTTTCAAAAGCAAATTTGTCGGTGTTTTTGAGGTACATCATGAAGTATGCCGATATCTAGAAATTTCACTATTTCGGCTTCAGTCTAAACTAAAACGACTTGACAAAAACTAGAACGGTTTTTTAACTTTCTACGCATTCATTATTTAAGATTTCTAAGAAAATTAGATTCAATAATATATTAAACAAGTTTGACTTGATAATAAAAAAAACTTTTTTTCTGCAAAAAATTAGAAGATAAAAGTTTCGTCAAAACAATAAAAGACAGCAGATGTGACGTTCGACGAATGATTGATGCACAATGCAATCATTGCAATTTCATAACAAATATTTGAGGAGCCCATCTGCAAAACGCGTTAAGTTCTAGTAAATTGATTTTAAGAAAACGACGAAAAACTGAACTACTCATAGTTATGCATCAACAGAAATTGATATTTTCTTTGTCTATTTTTAGGACAAAATAACTTTTCAACTAATCTAATATTTAAATAAATTTTAGAAATCAATATACAGAATTTGCAAATAGAATTAAAACAAAAATTTTATCTTTGTAACTAAGCGCGATTTGCAAATGGGCTCCTCATTTTTTTAATTAGAATAAAAAATTACAAATCAAATAAATAAATTAAATTATAAATCGCTAGGAATGCATTTTTCCTAAGTTATTGGAATTTACAGAAATAAATCTAAGTCAAGGAATTTTTTTTGTAAGTTTTAAATATATTTATAAAAACTGAATACTTATACTAATTTATAGATTCTATACACAGTAAAAACTAAATAGCGTTATAAAACAAATATAATTTATGTTACAAATGTACACCGTCCTTTATTGCATTTATCGACAATATCAATCAAAAATCACGTACCTAAATCTTTAACATTTTATTGGTAAAAAAGTTTACTCACCACAAAACAACTGACTTAAAGTCAAAAACAAAAAGAACCAAAAGAAAAAAAAGTTCATTTTTCTTTATATATCCGTAACGTTGTAACGTAAATATAATATATCTCTTTTAAAAACTCATCAGCATTAATGTTATTAAAACAAAAACAAAAATGCATCATCGAATAATAATTTGACTTGCTTAAAATGATCAATGAAATAAATAAATTTACTTTTTCATTGGTTTAAATCATAAGCTATCGTAAGCTGTCACCTATTTTTAAAACTATGTAAAAATGATAATAGAAGTATGCAAAAATTAATCTTTCGGTATAACATTTAGAAAAAAAAAATAAAAAAAAATAAAAAATATGAAAATAAAAAATAAATAAAAAAAAAACAGTATTAAATGAGCTTGTAAACAAGTAAAGCCAATAAAAGGAGTTCATTTAATCAGAATATGAAATCAGTAACTCTTCAAAACATGTTTAACTAAAACAAAAAGCAGGGCTTAAATCTTACCCTGTCTTAAAATAACTACGTGCACGTCATTTGATTTACTCGCTGAGAAAGTCTTGCACTCTTTACCCGTAACCACCTATTGACCTTTATCCATCGAATGAGCGGAAATCGGGAAGAAAAAAGTTTTTTCATTACAAATCAGAGCTAAATAAGAAACATTGTTAGCTAAGGACTTTATCAAAGCCTAAAAAAATTTAATTACCTTGGTTAACTTTTGTGATACCTTAAAAAAATTAACAAAACTTAAAAAATCTTCTTTTTAAACTGTGAGCTGACCCAAACAGTAAAAAGCAAACACAATACTTAGTGGAATTGTTTCAATTAGATTTAAGCAATAACAAAAAAAAACTTTTGCTTCTTTAACAGTTGCTAATTTAAAAATTCTTATTGAGAGATTCGACACGTTCATAAAAGAAAATATCTTTAACCTAAAAAAAATTAGCAAATATGAAAACGACCTAGATCTAACAACAAAAAAAGTCAACTCCCTGGAAGCTAACTTTTTTCAAAATAAAGAAGTTTGTACAGACAAATAAAGATATCGCTTCCGAAAAAACAGAATTAGTGAAACTAAAATTAAATGAAATAAGCATCCCAGTGGGATGTCCTAGTGACGTCTTTAAAAGTCTTATTTACGATGTCTTTAAGACATCTTTTTCTAGCCGGTTATGCAAATCTAAAAGACATCTTTTATCGACATCAAAAAACGTCTTTTTTTATTTTTACCTTGTCAAGAAAAGACATGAAAAATGTGTCTTTAAGACGTCTTTTATGCACATCGAAAAAAGTTTTTTCTCTTTATACAAAGTATGACAAAAAGCTCTTTCCGATGTAGAGAAAAAAAATCTCTTTTAGATGTCAATATAAAAGAGGAAGCATTTTCTACATCTTTTATATGTTTAAACATAGGAAAATAATTTATAAATAAAACAGCATTATTGCTCAATAGAATATTTTTTCATCTTTATCTTTCTCCTCTGTTTCTTGAGTTAGCTTTGTTTCTTGGCATTGTTGAATAAAGTTAACTACTTCGCGTCAAGAACTCCTTTCATACGAGCTGGCAACGACTTCTAAAAAATAAGTGAACATAAAAAACAGTCTCTTGTTTTAATGTAATATAAAAAAGCAAACGAAATTTGATTAGCTGAGTGAAACACAACTCTTACCGACTAATTAAAAAAAATCTGATCCTTTCAACCCTTTTTGTTTTCAGCACGGTCCTTTCTTTTTGTCCCCACTAGATTAAATTAGGACAGGAGTCAAACGGTAAATAGTCTAAAAATATATAAAAATGAGTATGCTAAATAGATTTAAGACCATCAAAATGAATGTACAACGTTGTATTTTATTATATAGTACTTAAACCAAGCTAAACATTTGCACCTCTCAGATTTGCCATGAAAGCCAAGTTATCGAAAACAGATATTGATATTTTTCTTTCTTCTATGACGTGACTTTTTAATTTAGTTTCTACTATAGACCCATAACAATTTAAAAATCCGTTATTGACTACAGACTATCAAAAACGAAAAGATAATTCAGCTAATTATCTTTTCCCTTTTCGATTTCGTTAAAATGAACAACAACACCTTGAGAGTTATTATTTATTTAAACTGGATAAATGTATTATTATTAGAAAATCATTAAGAAGATGCACCAAAAAAATGATATAATTTTTATTTCAGTGAAGAAATGTGTACTAATATTTATTGCAGCATAGTTTTATTTTTTTTGGAATTAAAAAATGATTTGCAATAGGCTGTTGTTCAGTTAGGTAATGCGAGAAAGTGGTATGGTTAGCTGTATGAGACAGTAAGATTGTATCACGTGAAGAAGTGGTTATAATAGAGTTACAACAACATAATGTAAAGTAATGCAAAGAATTATCATAGTCATTTCTTCACCTTTTTTTACTTTAAAATTTGAATTCTATTCAACTTTTTGCGTAAATTAACCGCCAAAAATTTATTATTTACTGAAGCTTGATTAGGTTCTTAGAAATAAAAAACAGCGTAAAAAATGTTTACATTGTTAATAAAACGATTTACTCAGGTTTTTCTAATGTTTACGTTTTCAGAACATGTAACAGCTTCTACTATTTAGAATGGGGTGATAACATTACAATCCCGTGACAACCTCGACCTAATCCATATAGTCTTGCATGGTAGTCGCAAAGTTTTTCCTATAAACTGTTTTAAAGAGCGCGTTATTAAGCCTGACCAGAAAATGTTAAAAAACTTAAAATTTTTTTTTTTTTTTTTTCAAATGATAGACTACCTACCCAAACTAAACCCTCAGTCGATGTAGCAGCACTCCCTTCCGAGTCAGGCTATTTGTCAGTCGATGTAGCAGCACTCCTTTTCGAGTCAGGCTATTTGTCAGTCGATGTAGCAGCACTCCGTTGCGAGTCAGGCTATTTGTCAGTCGATGTAGCAGCACTCCGTTGCGAGTCAGGCTATAAGATAGCCGATGTAGAAACACTTACGCATGTTTTAAAAATGTTTTTTAATAAAACAAAAACAAGAACACCACTAACTAAAAAAAACTTTCTAGTCATTATTATTGCGGTTTTTTTGAAAAACAATAAAATTTAATGTACTTCCGCATTATTTTAATTGCTTTGACGTTTCGATGACAACCAAATACAGCTTAAGAGACGAGGTAATAAAAATAGTAGTTAAAAGAGGCTTTTTTTACCATAAAAGTCTCTTTCGACTTATATATATATATATGTATATATATATATATATATATATATATATATATATATATATATATATATATATATATATATATATATATATATATATAAAATAAATAAATGAAAAATCCTTGCTAAATATATAATTCATTTGAACTAAGATAACAGTATATAAAAAAACATATAAATATATGAAAAACACACTAATATAATATTAACATATATATAAGTCACCAATAGTTTCTTTCAAGAAATAGGTTGTTTTTTTTTCATATAAAGATAAGGAAGCATAAACATTTTTTTCAGAAATGTTTTTATGATTGATTTTCTTGCTGTAACAAAGTAATCAGGAACTTGTGGTTCTTTGAAGGAGATGATTCTTGGGTTTAAAGCATCTAACTCTCGTCTAAAGTATCTCATTTTCGAATTGTAATTTTTATCTATATTTACAACTTGGCCTACAAAATAATATGGTATCTTTTTCCCTTCAAACCGTACAACAACATAAAAACCATCTGCTAATAAATATTCAGAGGGTGTAACTACCTCAAGATCACATATCCCTTTAGAGCAAATAGAATTTAATTTATAAGTGCTTTCATTTGAGTAGTTGTTAAACCTATTTTGCACGTTTGCTTGTTTTTGATGAAAAAGTTAATCTTCAAGGTTATAATCATCATCGTATAAATCACTTTTTTAAATAAAAAACCTTTTTTTTTAAGGTTAAGCTTTTTTTTTTCTGTTTACAATCAGATTTTTTATCAGTAGCTTCTTGTCAATCTACATCTTGGAGCTTGCAAGCATATCATGTTCAATAATTTCTTTAAAAGTATTCAAATTTAAATTATAATTTCTTTCTATATTTAAGGATTCATTAATTCAGGGCCGGCGCGAGTACGGGTCACGTGGGGGAGGCGGCCATTACAACTTTTGCCGTCTAAAAGAAAAAAAAAAAAAAAAAAACTTTACCGACTAACCTATCGACAGGGTCTACATTTTCCGACTAACTAGTCAAAAAGGGTCACTTTTGACTAGTTAGTCAGCAACACCCCCTACACCCCCCTATCGCGCTGGCCTTGCATTAATTTGAGTACTTTTTATTTTGATTAGCTTGTGTTTTTATTGAGAATTAGAAACAGAAGAATCTGTTGCAACATCTTCCAGTGAAACACTTTTTCCTGGTGAAGCCTCAACTTTTTTCCCACGCATTATTGCCCCAGACTTTTTAGCAGAAGCTTCTCAAAGTTCTGCAAGCGTTTAAGAACTAATGGGGATACTAAGTTCTGAGAAGATTTAGATATGTCTGTCCTCAAAATCTTGTCAATAATTTATATACATATATATATATATATATATATATATATATTATATATATATATATATATATATACATAAATATATTTATATACATATATATATATATATACATATATATATATATACATATATATATATATATATATATATATATATATATATATATATATATATATATATATATATATATATATATATATATAAATATTTGTTTGTGGGTAGATCCCAGATGTTTTGAACCCATTTACAGTGAACTCTTGTATGTGATTCATATTAGTCAAGAGATTAAGGAGCAATCTTGGAAAAACATTTTTTGGTAGGGATGTATGAAATCTTCCTTCACCAATTTTTCATTCAGTAATTACTTTTCTCCATGCTAATTTCATGGGTCCATAAACTGCAAGGTTGTAATAGATGTGTAATATTAGGAGGTAAGAAGATCATCCTATTATCTTCACAAACACCCTAATAGCTTCACAAATTTCAATAATAATAATAGATAAATAGCATGCTAAATTATCACCTATATGAAGTTTTGTTGTGTTATTATCAACATGTCTGAAGTAAGGTATTATTAATGTTTGCATCCAATTTTTAAAACAATAGCCATCAAACCAACCAGAAATGAAATTGCATGAAATGTCACATAAAATTGCAGCACGCTTTCTACAAAGGTTTTGACATGCTCGATAAAACAAAGACTTTTATGCCGCTCTAAAAATGATCTTACCCAATCATCACAAGAAAAATTTTCTTTAAAATATAGGCAGCCTCTTCCAGATTTGTTAAGAAAACATTGTACAAATAGTTTAAGGTCTATTTTATCAAATACATACCCAAAATCACTAAAAGTTGCAATGTATTGTGGAATTGACATCTCCTCGTCTGATAGCAAAGAGCTCTTTCACCAACCACACTACTTTTGCACAAACCACTAATATGACACCTTAAAGTTCTGTTTGGTATGTTTAACAGCTTTGCCACAAGTTTCCAAGTTTTCACCATTAACAAGTTCGATAACTCTTTTAAGTTCACTTTCTAAGTAAGTTTTTGACTGTTTTTGAGTTGATTTTAAATAGTTTCTCACCATTTCCACAAATCTGTTATAAAAAAGTAAAAAATATGAGCTAAAAAATCAAATTATTTGTATCTTTAAATATTTATTTTATTATCAACAATTTTATAAGAATAAAAACCACTAAATTCAAAAGGTGCTCATTTATTCCGTACAAAAGGGCTCAATTACCCCACCTTACTTAAAACACTTATATTTTATGAACAGTTCATTTATATGACTTGAAAGCTTGTAAGAGTTTACTTTAATAAACTACTTCAATAAATGTAAGGTACACTGAGAAAAATTCAAAATTCTAAGAAAGTTTTAACTACAAATGTTTACCTTTAGTATTTCCAGTTGGTAATTTTTACGGAATTCTATGAACCTACACCATGATAAAGTTAACTTGTTATCGGTTATTTATTTTCTTCTAAAAGAGCTGTAATTAACAACTTATATTTTTTTTAAGTTACTTTATGCATTTTTAACTTGAAAATGAACTAAGCATTAATACTAAATGTTTTATTTGTCTTTTAAAATGAATATGTTAACGGGTGTGCGATTACCCCATGAAGTGCTCGATTACCCCACGCTACGGTATATATATTAGGGTGTGACATCCGCCCTCTATATTCTAAAAAAGATCTGTTCATATTCTTAAAACCTTCTATTGGTTCTCACAAACAACTTTATATAATATTTTCAAATTTTTATTGGATTTATGGGGAGCACCAGACCCTTGAACACTTACCAGGTCCCTAATATTATATAAAAAAAAGTTTTTCAAAAGTATGTCATGTTGGGTCTCAAATGAAGCGAAATTATATAAATTTCTTTAAAATAACAATCATTTTATAAAAAAAAATTTATTTACAATTTTTTTTTAAATAATTATCAAAAAAATACACTTTTTTTTTTTAGGTTAAAAAAAGTCATTTTTTTGAATTTTTCGCAAAAAACTCTAAAATAATAACTTTTTTATAAAATGATTGTTATTTTCAAAATTTTTATAATTTTGTTTCTTTTGAGACCCAACATAACATACTTTTGAAAAACTTTTTTTTGTATAATATTAGGGACATGGTAAGTGTTCAAGGGTCTGGTGCTCCCCATAAATCCAATAAAAATTTGAAAAAATTTAATAAAGTTGCTTGTGAGAACCAATAGAAGGTTTTAAAAATATGAACAGATCTTTTTTAGAATATAGAGGGGAGGGGGGGAGATGTCACACCCTAATATATATATGAGTGAATTTAAATTTTTTTTAAATAAAAATTAAAAAAACTAGAAAAATGAATAATAACAACATTGTGTTTGACATATATGCTTTGCTAATAATCGCATAGCATATATGCCATTTGAATGTTAAGCAGCTCTAAAGTAATTTTTGTTATATCTTTTAATTTATTTTTGTAAGTTAACATTTCCAAGTATAAAACTCAGATAGATTAATTAAAAATATATAGTTAACCTTCATGATTTATATCGTTTTATCGTTCTAGTTAACCGTTAAAAACAAAAATGCGTTCTTTCGTACATAAAAGAAAATCTAACTCGTGTTAACCATTTTTATCTACGGATTTTGTTCTCTTCCTTTATAAATATCATATTCGATAAAAATTATTTAAAAATATACAGCTAATTTGTTTTATTTAAAAGGTTTTCTCTTTTTAAATGCTCTGCCGCTATTGGTTGCAAAGTTTTTTTTTTCCAATTCCGCCTTCAAATAACGCCTTTCAAGTTGTTCAAGTTTGACTTTCTTAAGAGTGACTTGAAGTTTTCAAGTTTCTTTTACGCATTTGCTTAAGCTTTTTATTGAAGTCTAAGTTGACAAAGTCTAACTTCACTCAAGTTTGCTTCTTGTATTCTACCCTAAAATCTGGAATAAATCTCAAAAACATAGTAATAAGTAATATATTCTTCAACAATAAAAGAAAGATTATTACTGATGAAAGTTAAATGGATAACGTAGTTGGTTTCAAATAAAGCCAACGCAATAATAAAGACTCAACATAAATTTGAAATTTAAAATACAAGATCTTTTTTTTAAGAAAAACAATATTTCTTTATTTTTTTAAGACTTTTTTTCTTTCAGTTAATTAATTAATTTCAGTTAATTGAATATTGAACTAAATAAAGTAAGTAACTGGTTTAAGGCTAACAAACTCTCACTTAATGCCGAGAAAACAAACTATATACTTTTTCATAAAAAAAGATAAGAAGAAAATCTTCCTCTCAAGTTGCCGAACCTATTTATAAATGACAAATTAATTAAAAAGCAATCCAATATAAGATTCTTTGGAATCGTTGTTGATTAAAAATTATCCTGGCTTCCTCATATAATATATATCCAGTCAAAAATTACCAAAATCATAGGTTTAATGTATCGAGTTCGCTCGTACATCAATACAAATAGTCTTAAATTAATCTACTTTGGGCTAATTCACAGCCTCATCAGCTATGCAAACATTTCATGGGCAAGTACTCAAACAACAAAGCTTAAGAAACTTTATAGTTTTCAGAAACATGCCTTTAGAATCATTTACTTTAAAAATAGGCGGGAACACGCTAATCCCATGATGAAAGATGTGAAAATGATGAATGTATTTGAAATAAATATCTACCAGCATTTAATTTTCATGTATCGTTACAATCACAATATCTCTCCTATAAGCTTTAATGATATGATTGAGTTAAATAAAAATGATAACTATAGTCTTAGAGCGAATATGTTAAACACATATAAACTGCCTAGGATAATAAATAAATATTCAGAATACAGCATTTTATATCGAGGTCCAAGAGTATGGAATATTTTTCAAAAAGGATTCAAAAGTAGGGTGAGTTCGTTAAGTTCATTCAAGTTTTTAACAAAAAAAAAGAAATTTTTAAAACCTGTGAAACATTTTTTGTTAATAATGCTTTGGATAAATTCTCTTAAATACGTTTTTGTTTTGTTTCTACTTTTGTTTGTTGCTTGACAAATTTTATAAGCGGATTACGCATTTTGTTATGATATTTTAGGAAAAAAAATTTGTTTTAGGAAACATTTAAAACTGGATTAATTAATTAACAGATAATAAATCCTGTTTCTTTAATAAGAGATTTATAGTGTTATTTTTATTATTTAATTACAACATATTAAAATAAATAACAATATTTCCAGTTAGAAAAAAAAATTAATAATAAATTTTAATTTAGTTTTGCTAACCACTTTTTTTATATTTAAAAAAGAGCACATCACGGGCGGTAATGCTGGTAAACAAAGTTCGATTCCTGAACAAATTCTTATCATGGGTTAGAGAATAATAATATTTATTAATGATTTATTTAGAGCTGTTTGGAAGAAAAAAAAATGTCTCAAACATATCTGAAAATTTCCGGTGTATTTGTGACGATACCTTACTTTGAACTTTAGCGAAAAATACTTAAAGATCATGGTAAATCTGTGTGTAAATATAAACTTAAAATTATCCTAAAAAAAGTAAATTTAAAGTTATTATTATTTTTTTTTCGCGTGTGTGGTTATTTAACTGCTCCAATAAGTCCTTAGGGTTTTATCGCATAGCACCGCGGTAGAGCATTCAACAAGGATGTTCACGCCTCTTTCTTTGCCAATGTCACAAATGTGGCCACAGCTGGCGTCAAACTTTGGAATTTTAAAACAAGCATTGTCATGGTTGCTAAGTTTGGAAAAAAATAGAGTTGTCATGGTTTTTTTTTTTTTTATAATTAAGAGTCATATATAAAAGTATTGTTATTTGGTGTTGAAATGAGACTCAAAAAAAAAAGATTAAACTGCTTTGTGAAAAGATTAAAATGTTTTGTTTGAAAAAACTGTTTTTTTTTTTTCTAGATAAACAACAATAATATAGATTTCAATTATTTATAAAGAAATTCACTTACCATGTCAGCCAATCTAATAATATCAAATTTTAAAAACGATTAAAAACCATGCAAAAATACTAAAGCTAGGGAGTTTAGTCACGTGACTTTTTGATGCAGAAAAAAAAACGTAGTTTGTTTTTGAAAAACTTCGACCAAAAAAAATGCATGAAACGATTTTAGGTAGGTATCGAAAAATGAAAACCCACCCATAAAAACTACAAATTTAAATACATGTATCATTTTTTTCAGAAAAGAATGTAGGACATTTATGTCCTACATTCTTACATTGAATCTACAATCTACATTGAAGACAATATTCTACTTTTGAAATGAAAAAGTTATTAACTTTTAAATGATTTAATTTTGTTAAAATACCAGTTAAATTAGATAATTTATCCGTCTTCACATGAATATAGGTTCTGCAACTATTTGTTAATAATATGTATGTATTTTTAATTTTTTTTCTTATGGTTAATTAGGGTGGGTTTTTTGTTTTTCAACTTGTGATTTGTAAAATTGCCCCTTTTTTACTAACATTAGTAAGCGCACTCAAAGATATATGCGTTAGACTATTTTTTTATGTAGAAAAAGATGGTCTTTACTTGTATAAAAATGTAGATATAGAATAATTAGGGTGATATACCTAGCTTTAATTGTTGTATAGGTTTTTTTTATTAACTATATATTAAAAGAAGAATTACTGAAATAATATATTTTAAGTTTTATAGTAGATTTACTAACTGAAAAGTAATAAGTAATGATGATGATGATGATGATGATGATGATGATGATGATGATGATGATGATGATGATGATAATGATAATGATGATGATCAGCCTGTTTACAGCTATTTAAAATCATTGTAAAAATAGTACATAACAAGTTATGTCTTTTTTTAAAAACATCTTTTTTCTTTTAAATGCTTCACGACTTGATTCTTGAATTCTTTCATGTCAAGAGATTTAAATTCATTTGGCAATTTGTTGTACAACTTTATCCTATTGCAAAAGGTAGACTTTAGTCTGCTTTCCTTGTTCTTGCTTTTTAAGTGATAATTATTTGCATTTTTTATAAAATAATCTTGTACTTCATTGTTTTTTATACAAAATCCTTGAAACTTTCAATGAGTGTCTTTCAATGAAAGACACTCATTGAAAGT